ACCAACTTTCTCGCCGCTCTCTTGCTGCAAGTGTGGTAACGTCCTTAGCAATTAACACACTACTACATGTCCCATAATTTAACAACAGTACTCTGTAATATATTGTGACCAAGCAAAGCAAAGCTATGATCAATTAAATCCAACCCTCTTAACCATGTCAGGCAAGCTGAAGGACTCAGCTCCTGAACAAGGGTCAAACAAGACAATATGCTAAGCACATTTTTAGAAAATGTGTTCTCTCAAGTGGCGAAAGACATCTGTTTCTAATAGTATGTGATTTTCCTCACCTAATATTCTAGTGTGTTTTGTTTTGAGATTTGTGACTGAAGATAAGCATGGGTTTCATTTGTAAATCTGATTGCTGAGGCATGTATGTCAAAGGAAATCCTGTCATGGGAGGAAAATTAGTTAATTGTAGGTAATGCACATTCCCTGTAACATCTGGGTTGTCTGGTGTGAAACTGACAAATAAGTACAGCCAATAGTATAAAATCATTGCTCTTCTTGAAAACAGAACACCTTGTGATCAGTGAAGAATCTGAGAAAAGAATGTGAGATGATATGTGTCTAAGCACACATACCCTAAAGGCACCAGATCCTGTCTGATTTTGGAGGCTGGTTAGTACTTGAATGGAAGATCTCCAACTATTACCATGTACTATAAACTACTTGAGGAAAGCACTGGCAAATGCACCTCTGAATCTTCCTTGCCTAAGAAAACCCAATGAAATTCATGAGGTTAGTATAAGTTGATAGGAAACTTGAAGGCACACACACACACACATGTATGTGGGAGGAGAGAGAGACTTACAACAGAATGGCTGATATTCAGTCCCAGCCTTTGAACAGGATTTCTTCTATGCCCTTATGTTCTAAATTAGTACCTTGTTATCTGGCAAAGGTAGCATTTCCATTACAGGTGCCTGTCACTTCCTTTTAGTGGAATCATTAAACAAGTGATTTGCATCAATTACCTGCCCAGCCATTGCTTCAGGCTTGTGATTCATTTCTCCTGTGTTTATGGTATGCTGGGACATGTAATGTGCAATGGGAATTTGAGGAGCGAAAACAGAGAAAGACAAAACACAGAAATCAATGTCCTTTGGTGTAAACCTCTGGAACAGCCACAGTATCTTTCAGTGCTCTGATCAGTTTTGTGGGTTTGAAGGCATTATTCTTCCAAAGGAGCTTGCTAGAGTTCAGGGGTTATTGAATCAGTAACTTGAGAAGGTTTCCACTGCACTGATTACAATTGTCACAGCAACTAAAGTTGAAGAAACATCTGTATCTTATTTGAATCAGGTGAGTTGGATAAATGTTTGTACTGTATTTATTTATTTTAGAATACTTATACCCTGCTTTATAGTGCCCCCGGCTTTCAAAATGACTCCCAAATCATATGGGTGGGAATCATATGGCCCTGATTTAGACCCATGTGATTACAGTAGTGGGTGATGACCTCCTTGAGACCACAGTAGTGGCACTTTAATGGATTCATGTTAGTACTGAGCAGAAGCAAGCAGCAGTAAACTACTCCTGGATGCCTTTTACCATGAAAACGATATGATGAAACAATGCAGAATGAAACAAGAGATAGTGCAGGAAAAGAAGCCTTCTGGGTCAAGAGGCACTCAGTCAGCTACTAGGGAAGAGGAGAGAACAAGGAAATCGTTTTAGAGGATGTGACAATGGCAGCAGATCAATG